CCCAAAGTCAAAATTACAATTAAATTTCCAACTATGATTAGCTATAGATGACTTGTTAATTTCATCTTTTTGAATACAATATTCGTGTTCCTTTATACAAAATTTTAATGTTTTTTTAGTTTTACCGATATATCTCAAACCACACTGACGAAATATGCTGTAAATGTCTCAGAAATTAAAGTCAGAAATGGAATCTTAAAAAATCGAACCTTGATTTTATTGACAGGCGAGAAAATGACTTGGAAAATGAAATTCTAGAGAGTCCATGCAATTTTATAACTGACAGAAGGATGAAATGGGAACAGGACAAGGTTATTAATGTTATGTATGTATAACAGCGAAATGTCTTCTTTGATGACAAGATGAAATTTTTTGAAAAGCTTAACGAATGACCACGGGAGAAAATGCCTCGGTTAATAACAACTGTTAGTCCATAAGCATTTGTTTGTTTAAGTGTTTGTCCATAACAACGATTTGTCCGCCCTTACCAGCTTTGGAAATTATAATGTTAGGATAAGAATAAATTTCTCGTAAACCCTTCCTTTTATTTTGGTAATGATTCGAAACAAACGATTTTGTTATTAAAATTCACGTTATGAGTAATTAAGTGGCAGATTGTATCCTTCTGAGTTTCTGAAATTTTACAGAATTTAAAAGTTTTTTTCAATTACCTCGATGATTTGAGGAGTCTTGTGTCCTAAAAGCCGAAATTAGCAAGTCTTCGATAGCTAATCGTAGTTGGAAACTTGATCAAAATTTTGACTTTGGGTCTACAAATATTATCCAAAAAGATTATTGCATTGGTGAATTGAATTTTCTTGAAACTTTTCACATTCATAAAGATTTACCTTGTTTAGTTAATGACTTTAATTCTAATCCAGTCCTTTCTAACGCTTTTCGAACTCTATTAACTTAATTTTTCAATTTGCGTTATTATTACTTCCAATAGATGGAGCTATCTTCTCGTTATCTTTACTCCTGTTGGATATAAATACAACCGTGGCTTTCCTTCGAAGCATCTAACTGAGATAGCCGGAAAACAACCTGCATTCTTTGCAGGTTAATCGTGGCATACAGAGGAAGTTGGAGTTGGAGTTTCGTTACAGATTTCTTCGCTCCTAATGTGGACGGACCCTCGAAACCGATACAGTCTTGGCTAAAACCGATACAGTCTTGGCTAAAACCGATACAGTCTTGGCTAAAACCGATACAGTCTTGGCTAAAACCGATACAGTCTTGGCTAAAACCGATACAGTCTTGGCTAAAACCGATACAGTCTTGGCTAAAACACAAGGTTGTTGCTTTGCCAATTTTATGTTTGACTTTGTTTCGCTTCTGTTCAGTACATTGATAGTTATGTTATATTTATACGTAAGGCTAAGATTTTTATTACTTCTAAGATATAATACTTTATTATTATGATGTGTTTGCTTTCTTTTAACTTTAATGAAAACATTTTTATTTGATCTAACAAGAGTAAACTGGAAGTGTAAGTCATGTAGCCAAAAATATTTGGTTTAAAACGTTTTTAAAGCTCTCCAATGCAATAACAATGTTGGCATATATGAAAGTGAAATATCATAAGTATAAAACTTCAAAGTTGAAAAAATTTGAGAATCAAAATACAAGTTTATTCAAAATTATTGACCCAGTTTCACATTAGTGTAACTCCACACGCACATAAAATACATATTCGTTTTACATAAAATACATATTTAAAAAAAAAAAGAAAAAAGAAAAAATCTTCGAGTTTCAATATGCTACCAAAATGTTCGGGTAAAACGCCATACTTCTTAACGAAGTACTCTTCCAGTGCTGAATAATGTGTAATTAATGTGATGACTTTGTGTTCCAAAGTTTGTCACCTAAATCATCGGATCGTGAGCCACGTGACGTTACTCGTTTGGAATATATTAAACAATAGGTTTATATTGCCTTTGTGCTCAATCTTTGATGATTTCAGAAAGCACATTATGAATGCAGAGAAAGCTGTAATAAAGGATGTACTAGAATTATTGCAAAAATTTGAGTATCATCTTGTCATTACTTCTGTCAAAAGAAACTTCTATACAACCTTTTTTCTTCATTTCGTGCATTATTTGTTAATCTGGCTTCGTAAGATTAAAATAACGTCATTTGAATTTGTTAAATCATTATCTAATATTCCTTATTTAATAATCATGAATACATTAGTAGCTAATAAGTAACGCAGGAATTAGTTTTAAGCTGGGATTTGTAAACAAAGTAGACAGATTTCCATTGAAATTCAGAAAGATGGATTTCCCCGGTAAATTAAATTACAATGTTTGAGCTATAGATACTGGAGAATTGCCTTCGGAACAACTATGACATACCCTAATTACACAGCAAGAAAATATACAAATAATATATGCAACTGAAAATTATTTTTACTGCATTAATAACGAAAAAAATTTGTTTTTTAATTAATATACTTTTAAAGAAAGCATTTTCTATATTTGATCCACCAGCGCTAGCCTGATGAACCATAGACTTCTTTGCGCTTTATTTAAAAGAAACATAGTCCCCTTTTAATTGCGAATATTTTTACATGAAGATTAAATTAGCTGCGCTGAATTAATCTGAAAGAAAGCCCACTTGTTCTTTGGCAGAACGTAAAAATACTGTAAATAGAATAACAAAAAAAGGTCTTTTGAAATGAACAAATATCAAATGAACTGCTCGCGTTATAAAAACTGCATCCTTCCCTGCTCCATACATCCAAAGGACTGCAAGTTGTCTAACAGGAGAAACATGTTTCATTTTTTTAATGTAGTTTTCTACCCCATAAAAAAGTAATTTGCACGATACAGTGTTATGTTCTAGTAACCGCGATCTGTTAGTCCAAGAAACTGGATCACGTTAAATAGCATCTATGACAGGGAAAACGTACTTACAGTCTCTGACTACGCAGTAACAGAAATATTTCTCATATCACTATTTGAATGGTCAATACAGTTTTCTATGTAAAAGTAACTTAACTGCGAAGTAACTTAGCTGTAACTTCTTTAAAAATCAAAATTTTTTAAGGCGATTAATTTCGGTAGCGTTAAAGACAGCGCTAAAAATATGTAAAGAACTATGCTAAATTTTTTCGCTGTCAAAAGAAAGAGATAATATCTACTTCGGTTTTTTTTCCCAGCAGCAATCTTCTGTGATCAAAATTCAATCGTTTTTTTATTTAGAATACAATATTTTAGAAGCTTTCATATAATACCATAGGAAGATACTCCACCTAAGACGGAAAATTTGTATTGAAGGATCGTTAGTTCTTGTCTTAAACATGCATATTTTTATCTCATACGTATAAAACGTAGGCTTTTTTAATGTTTTGTGAATCAAAGAATAGTCAAAACTAAATATAAACAGAAAAATCTAATCGTTTTCTCCTCATTTATTCAAAAACGAATTAAGTTTTTTTTCCAGTTTTTCATTAATATTATTTTTATACCTTCTAAACTTAAAACGACATATTATGAAAAGCGTTCAGGCTTTCATCAGAATTTCACAATATCCATTTGACGAATAATATTGGAGTCTTTATCGTAGTCTCAAATTTTTCCGCTAAACATCTCCGCTCTTACTATAAATATATTTATTTTCAGTAGCGCAGCGTAACTCCAATTATCTGGAATTTAGATATACTTACTTCCATTAATCCAAATGAGTTGTTTCTCTCTTTGTATTAAGTACAAATGTTTGATTAAAATTTGATGTTGATTTTAATAATTTCTAAATATAATACAGTATTGTGCATATTTCAATAGCTATTAAATTGTTTTACTTTCAGATTTTATATTATCCCCAAACTGGTGTTTTTTCATTTACAGACACATGCACGTTTCGAGAGCATTTGGGCTAATCTTCTCTTGGGTTAAAAATGTTTAAAAACAGCGTAACTTTAGAATTTCCGATAGACAGTCTCGTTCGCTTGAGATAAAAAAAAATGTTTTATTCCGTAGTATTGCCACTGCTCGCTTTGAAATTGTTGAGATTTTTAATAAAAATTCATTAAAGTTTTACATAATATGAAACAGACAATAAAACAAAATATAAATTCGGCCTTCCAGGTGGGCATGACTATGTTATTCAAAAGTTGATGGCACTAGGTACCGTTGGTTTTCACAGAGCGAGAAACATACATACAATCATGCAGATTCCTCATTGTTTGAGTTTCTTTAAATATAATACAAGGCGATAATATCTGGTGGCAACAATGTGAAAAGTGATACATCTCATTTAAGTGATTCAATGCAAAATGCCGTTTCGAGATTTATAGCCCTTCTGGGCTAATAAGAAGTCTAGTTGGCTTACAGTGTCCGATAAATACATACCCTCTAAACATTCATGTAAAAGCAAATATGTTTTATGTACAAAACTATTGCACTTTGTTTATTTCATAAACCCCTTCTCAGCCCTATGTTTCCTTTTTTAAAGAAATACATAATCCAGAAATTATGTTCTTTTGATTACTTCTCCACGCAAGGAAACTTTGGCCCGTCATGCACCAAATAATTATAGAAAGTTGCTTTTCACTGATCTCTTAAGCAAATTTTTTAAAAAATGCAAAGCTGAATTATGTTAGAAAAGGCGAACTTTAATTTCAGTAACTAAAAAATGCTTATAACTTTCCATATAATCACGTCTGTAGAAATAAAATAAAATAAATAAAAATAAAATTCCTCATTGGCATTACAGTAAACATATATAACATATATAAGAAGAAAGAAAACACAGTTAGTTATTCATGTTTTTCGAATACCTGAATAGGCAGTAGTCCGAACTAATCCGGATATTGAAGTTGTACTGCATTTTGAATAAATCCGAGATGTCAGCAATAATTAACACAGCATGCACATGATCGAAGTATATAAAACTAATACTCTAAAAACTCGTCTAGACAGTCAGTACATTAGTACTGAGATTAATTTATCAAAAACACAAATTTCAAATATAAATATTACTTGAAAAAAAAGACTTACCCCTAGCTTTCTGTGAAACTTCTATCAACATTGCTTTGTAATCCACATTAGGATTAGTTTCATCAAAATCTTTGTAGTAGGATTTTCTGCCTAAGGCAGTATAAACTGCCCCGAGGGTGAAATAGCAGTTGGAGTTTCCAATAGTTCTGTCATCGAAGTTGTGGAAAATGAGAGCCACGATGTTCCAATTAAACTTCTTAAGCACCTGGAGGAAGATTAGCCCTATCTGAGAATATGATCCGTTCATTCGAGTCAGCAAACGATAATGAGGTTCTTTGAAATCGAAATTGTCATTTTGACCCGCTGCCGTGAGGACAGGTAATTCCCAAACAGCTGAATATCTGGCAATTGGTGCTAAAACGTAAGGACACAGTGGCCCTAGAAGGACATCAGCTAAGCCCGAATTGTATAAAGAGAATGCAGCCAAGGGGCCATACGTGGAGGAACACTGTGTATCTCTATGCAGTACCTCCATAGGCCGCCCACCTTGACGAACTAATGTTTGTACAGCGTACCGGACAGCGGGCACAACTTTATGCAAAGCAAATGGTTGGGATTCGTCTCCTGGAGCAAGAACTGCTAAACGTATCGGAACGCTGTCCATATCTTGGCCAATACCAAAAGAACGCATTACAGTAATTAATGCGAGAACAGTGATGAGTCTTTTTCGGAGCATATTCTTATTCTATTTTTCAGAACTCGTAAAATTTCGAAATTTTTCAGAACAATATTTTTTAGCTTTATTAAGCAATGACATAAATTTCAGAGAGAAAAAAGGGGGCTTAAAATTTTAAACATTCTAAACTTTAATTCACCCATTTCTAAATTTCCAGTATTTTGGAATAAACTAATATAAGTCTTCCACAGAATGGCTCATTTCTAATGACTTTTTGATGAGCATCTTACTCTATAATAACTTTAATTTTATTTTCGTATCACAGCCTAATTACTATAAATAGAATAAATTTTTCAACTTTCTTCCGCATATCCTTCTTTCATTAAATCGAAACTTCAAGACCAAGTTTGAATATTAAAACTCTGGGGCCAATATTGCTTTGACCCTTTTACGTGTAAGTTCTCAAGTACACCAATTAATTATAAAACTAGAGGATAGTGTCAAATGCAATAATTTATCTTCTGCTTAAAAAAAATAAGAAAAAAATAAGTTCACCAAGTATACAGTGATGATATTCTAATGCAAATATTTTATCATATGATTGTAAGTAGTCCAGTCCGATTCGATCAATCTTTTACAAAAGTTTATTAAAAATTCCAGGCTATGTTTTAGTGTAGCTTTAAATTCGTTTGAAATAAATTAAAACGATCAAATATAGTAGTTTAAATTCTTCTTACGCGCTATGTTTTTTAATGCTTTTGAACACATAACTATGAAGATATTTATTTCTTTTGCTTACTTGAATATAGTATTAATCCGATATAAATGAAAGCCACTAGAAATTAAATATCACTGAGAACTTCAAAAATTTTGATTATAAAATGAAAGCAAACATAGGGGATTAACTTTAATTGACGCCAATCTCTTCGAACCCAGCAGAAGCAACCTGTTGTAGCTAACTGCTCTCGCGCCGAGATGCGACTAGCAGACGATATTTACTCCCGCCGTTTTGAATATTCTTCGCTTTCTCAGTAGCGCCATCTCGTATAAAGTTCCATCATTATTTCTCGGTTTTGCGGTCTATAGCTGTTATACTTCTTAAAGCTGTTGACTGCACGTCAACTGAAAGATAGTTAAGTGCATTTCTGATGATTTATAGACGATAAAGTATGGCTGAAGAAAGACAGACACACATGACAACGTAACTTTCTTGAAGAGAGTTACTATTAAACAATAGATACCATCACCAACATTTCCACCTCAGTTTCCTTTACACACTCTTTTACATTTGCATATAAGTGACTTTTTCATACGTATAAATTTCCATTATTTAAGTCCAAATGTAATAACCAAATAAATTCCTTCTATTCTTTTTTAGATAACAGAATAATACTTTTTGCCCAATGTATCAAACGATTACTTTGGTGAAGTTCTTTCTCCTTCCTTTCAACGGTAATAAATTTAATGGAAGTCAGCAGCGCAAAAAGAGTCACTTTATATTTTCACTATTTTCCTTGTTTAACCTTTCTGAAAATTCAGATAGATCATCAAATAATAGAAAAGTTTTATCATAAACCTCTACTCCATGAAATACAAATAAGCACAGGTATGCTTAAAACTGACTAAAAGTAAATGTTCTTGCGCCAAATTGCTATTTACTTCTTCTAAAGTTAGGCAAGTTGTATTTAATTTACCTGACAGTTGTAAACTAATTTGTAATAATGTTATTTAAAACATAAAAGTTTTAATGTAAATAAACTGTAAAGCATATAAAATCATGAATCAAAATAATATGAGCAAAAATATGTAATTTAAAATGAAATTTCTTAGCAGCACTGAAAATGCTCTCCTTCATTAACTAAAAAAATCTGATGTGACATGACATGACTTCCTTGTACGGAATATTAAATTATACGCATTTTTTCTTGCATTTCATTTAAACTTATTGGATTGAATTAAATCTTCTTCGTCGACAGCGCATAAACACAATAGAATAAATGCATTCTTTAAAATTCACTCTAGTATTTGTTTTACCATAGCGACACTCTGGCGCTAGGATTCACTTACAGTATTATATTTCGTTCATATTATAACTCAAATGCACAATGTTAATGATTTAAAGAATAGAACTATCTAATCGTTGCCACATGTTCTATTCAAATACTATAATAAAGCTAGAATGATGTATAAAAGAAATTAATTAAGCAAACAAACAAAAAGAAACAGTTTTTCACAGACGATTGAGTATTTCTCATTCAATTAATTCAGTTCTCACTTCCGCGAGAAGGCAAAATACATAAAAAACCTCAAAATATCTATAGATTAAAAATTACGAAGTAAATCTTAAACACTTATTTTCTCAAAAAAAATTCCAGAAAGGATTAAGCATGATTTAATTGGCAATAATAAATGAAGGCGTTATCTTTGTTGTTGCGAAGCTAAGTTTCTCTAGATTGGCAACAAATCCACTAGTCTGCTGTTTCAAGTGTAAACAATCAATGGCCGCTATAAAAAAAAAGGCTTAGCGGCACTTAAACAACTTTAAAATTGTTGATAATTCTAAAAATATTGCATACAGATTTACTAAAGGCATAAAAACCTTAACCGGAAGATAAAAACAACATAATTCAATCATTTCTAAAGCAAAAAATGTACAATTTACAAACATATACGAGTAAAGAAACTGAGATCACTGAGCCGGGTAACAGAGTGGACATATAAAGAAATATATTTATAACATTTTGGTGCGGCCGATTGCAACCAAAATACGAGAAGCACATCTACATGCTTATAGAAATTTCTATATACAAAATTTCAACTTTCTGAGGCTACTCTTTTTTGAGTTATGCAAAATCCGTATGTACGTACATACGTACGTACGCATAGACGCCACGAAAAACGTTTTCTTCACGGAATTTCATTTTAAATCAGTTTTATAATTTGTTTGGGGGAGGAAATGAGTCCTTTATTCCGTCCTTACGTACAGATGTCAACGCAGAAACATCGTTAAATTTCATTCGATAGCGGTCAAAATGGATATTTTCGTTGAAATATGCTGCCTGGAACTTTTCGCGATTACAATACTTCCTTTTCACTTCGTACAAGGAAGAAAAAATCAATACAGATCTAATATTTACACTTTGCTGATGTCTTAAAGTTCTTTCGCAATCTGAGAGTTGGTTGGATAATTGTAACACAGTGTTTCTTTGTTTTAGAGTTGTTTGGATAATTACGACAAAACACATCGCTATAGCGCTTTTTATGACTACTGCTAGAATAATATTGATATATATTTCAAAATATAATATGAATGTTTTGCTCACTCAAAATCTTTCCCAGAATTCCGGTAAAGTAATCCTACTCCGTTTGAATAGTCATAAAAGATAATTAAGGAACTTTCTTTATGTAAGAATAGAAACTCGTTAACTAGTATGCCTAATAAAGACGTGTGTCGATCAAGCGAGTTTCCTTTTGGATGGAAAATTTTACCAACAAACAAAAGACCTTACCTAGGTAACCCACTGTTTCCCAACCTGTGTAATATTCATATGCACCATCTCGAGTATAAAGAGCAGAAATTTTAGAATACTTAATTTTCATTTTTGGGTGCCGTGTGTTAATAACAAGTTTTTTCTGCAGCACCAGCCTACTTTAATATTCTCGATTTTCTTTCCACCCTGAATACTTTAAATCAGGGGTTCTGAACCCTATGCTTGCGGGCACCATGGCACCCGCCGATCATTTAACTTGTGCCCGACGTTAAACGTGTGCTGTGCGATCACAATAAAAATGTTTTAGTTTTCAATCAATTCTTCATGAAACTTTTCTCACTTTTAATGAAATAGAAATTGCGTCCAACACAGATACTAGCACAAAGACAAATGCGAACGAGCTCTTTTTTTTATATGGATGTGTTATTAACTCTATTCAACTATAATTCAATTTGAAAAAGTAAATGGTGCCCGCCGTCCAACAGACATTCTAGAATGTGCTCTCAGAGAGACAAAGATTGAGGACCCCTGCTTTAGATGATAACACACAATTTACATATGCAATTAATAATTATCTTTTTCCTTGGACGTACTCATTAATGAAATCTAAAAATGAGTTATATAGTACAAGTGTTTATGGTAAACCGCTTGTTCTCCCCTTGCTCCATAGCTCTGCTTGTCTACATAAATCAAAATAAATGACATCACATGACTATCTTGTACAGCCTATTAAATTATACTCACTTTTTGCTGCACTTCATTTAAACTTATTTCCTCGAATTTCATGAAAGATTCTCATTCAGTTAATTCAGTTCTCAGTTCGCGGCAAGGCACAAATATATAAAACCCTAAACTATCTTCATTAAAAATTGAAAAATATAGAAAAACATAAAACACTAAATACAGTTAATACATTTTTAAAAAAAAGTTTTGCAATTAAAATTACAGATTCTACGGAAAAAAGTTTGGCGATGCCAAACTGGCAATTTAAGTTACGCCAAATATTTCCGTGAATTGAAGGGATCAAGAACCAATGCACACACTAAAGAACTCATTCTGAATAAGCATTTCGCTATTCAATTTTGAGTGAAAAGCAATTTTATGCAGTAAAATTGATAAATTACTTGAGTAATTGTACCCCGACACTCATGTTTTGCATTTTAATTCAAAACTATTTGTAAAAATTAAAACATTGGAAATTGGCATTATGAAATAGAACTCAAAGTAATTGAAATAAACATTAGAAAATTTACGAAATATAGAAATATAATGTCAGTCTTTGCAAAACAAAAAATTAATCTTAGGAGATAATATAATCATATTTCTTTCTTTGTAAATAATTATATATATATATATATATATGTAATTTATATTATATATATATATACTTCTGCTGCTGCCGAATGTAGCCAAAAAAAAAAAAAAAGAAAATGCACAACTACATGTTATAGCAGTCCTATAAACTAAATTTCAATGTTCTGATTCTACTCGTTTTATGCGAAATACATACGTACGTATGTACACTTACGTACAGACGCCCCGAAAAAAAGTCTCTTCTGAACCCATTTTGGAATCCGTTTTGGGGAAAAGAGTCCTTTATTCTGCCCTTACCACGAAACAGCATCCCTAAATTGCATTCGATAGCGATCAAAAGGGATATTTTCGTTCAAATATGATACCAGAAACCTTTCACGATTACAATTCTTACTTCGCACAAGGAAGTAAACATTTTTGCCTCTACATATTTGTTTGTCATCCGATTCATGTATGCTCCACTCTTGTTACTTTTTCATATTCTACTACTTAATGAAAATGACGCAAAGGAAAGAATCAATATAAACCTGTTAGCAAATCTTTAATGAAATATCACATATAAACAAGAGCTGCTTATAAAGATTTTCGGCATACTAAAGACAGAAAAAAGTTGGTAAAGTTTTATATTTAATAAAGAGGAAGAAAATGCCTAGCACATAAGACAGTCAGAAAGAATTTAGTAAATAATGATGTAAATACGTAATAAAGACAAAAAAATAACTTGTTACATACTATATTTGCATTATAAACATCTTTTATAACACCCATCTTGGGTTCCAAATAAAGTCATCTAGTTCACTTAAAATGAAATTAGTTACAGATATCCTATTGTGAGTTTTTAGTAAAAATTTCACTACACTAAGTAATTCAAGATCAGTGTCGGAGTCGCCAATAAAGAACAAAACTTTACACAACAAGACAGACGGGGCTATAAGGTCAAAACTCTAACACATAATTATTCGTAATTCTTCTAACATTACAGTAAACCTGCTTTACATAAATTCTAGAATGATGACAGCTTGTGACGAAATGAGGCTGTAGAGTTGCGCGCCTCCAACCTGCACGCAACAAAGTGGTGACTGCTGAAAACTGGAAATTAGACAGAGTCTTGCGAAGGGTTTAAGTCCCTTTTTATTCAACT